CTAGGAATGGGGAAAAAATAAGAACCAAGATGCATTATGTAAAGGTACAATTCCCAATGAGAAATGTAATTGTGTTGTATACCTACAGTGTACCACTAAAAGAATTTAATACAAAAAAAAAAACAAAAAAAAAAAAACGACTTGACAAGTGAGAGAAAAGAATCACATGCTCTGTCCGGTATAAATGTACTTCAGGGGACTAGGAAGTTGGTAGAGAAAAGTTGCTTTTATGTAGAATTCCAGCTAATCAGTGCAGAAGGATGACAGAATTAGAAAATCACCATCCTAAAACCCTTGTAGAAGTATGGACCGAAGCCCTTGTCACCTGCGGATGAGGAAAGTGCCCCAAGAGTGGTAGTTGGAGAACTCGATGATGGAGGTCCCAGGCTGACACTTCAGGAACCCGACCAGAGGAAGTGGCTCCATGATGTAACACCGTGGGGAGGTTGCAAGTCACCTGGGAGCTTGTCAGCTCAAAGAGCCAGCCTGAGTCTAATCCAGCCCTTAATTCTGTCACATGATGGCAGGCAGAAAGGAGTGACCTCATCTCTGCAGCCTTTCAGTGACCTGAAGAACAAGGGAGCAGGGAGAGGTCATTACAGAATAAAAGGGACTGTAGAGACCTGACAACCCAAGGCAGAGCATGGCGCCACCTGGGTCTTGATCCACACAAACCAACAGTGCAACGACATCTTGAGATAATGGAGAAAACTGAAATGTAGACCATCTGTTGCATATTAAGGACTTCTGTTGATTTCATTGGGAATGATGATGGCAGGGTGGTCATGTTAGAAAAAAACATCTATCACAGATTCCCACTGAGACAGTGATGGGGCACACATTGTGGTGTTGGGGATTCATTTTGAATATGCTGCAAAACTGCAGGGCTGAAGGAGCTATGGAACCAGCCCATCCACTGTCACCATGTTGAAAGTAGGGGACAGGAGCCTGTGTGGATTCATTTTGCTGTTCCCTCCTTTTTGTGGTATGCTTGAAGATTGCTGTGATAAAAAGTGAAAAAGAAAAGTCCATGTAGGGGAGCTAAGGATCCTCAGGGCATCAGTGCGCATTGTGGCTGGGGATTAGAAGCTGCCCCGGGGTTTATTGCAGAGATGTGTGGGCTCCTGGGTCCTGACTTTAACCCTAACCTTGACCCTTCTCCACCGGTGTGTCCTGGGTCAGGCTGGGCATGGGGCAGGGTGGCTGACACACCCTGTTGTCACGGCTTGTCCACTGCAGCCCCAGGGAAGGCAGGGGGTAGAGCCCAGACCTTCTGTCGGGTGACCAGGGTAACCTATCACTTCTGCCACTAGGAAGGGACATGCGGAAGACAGGGTTTTCAGAGCAGAGGGTGGCATCTCCAGAGACTCAAATCTTCTCTGTTGTCCCTTCCTTCAGAGGAGGTGGCTTTTAGGAAGAAGAGGCTGTGTATTAAGTTCATCCCCCGGGATTCAACCGAAGCTGCCATCTGCGACATTCGGATCATGGGCCGGACCAAGCAGGCACCTCCTCAGTACACATTCATTGGGTGAGTTCCAGGAACACTGTTTTGCTGCCTTCCCTGGCGGTGCTCAGGTCACTCCTGGGCATGGAATCCTAGAACTCAGTGTGGAGGTGAGAGGGCAGAGCTGCTGGGCCGGCAGAAGAGTCAGTGGGAATGGGGTAGGCGTAGCGGGTGCCAGGGCAGAGAGCAGTGTGCATTGCTGGACAGGGCAAGCACTGGGGCTGTGGAACGTAGCAGTGCTTCCTGGGGCATAGTGGCTGCCAGGGTTTTATTGCAGGCACCATGGGCAGCCCCTAGAAGGTTCTGCTCTGGGAAGAAAGACAGAAACCTTGCTGTGGGTCTTCAGTCTGTCTTCCCAGTAAGAGGGAACTGCTGGGCCAGGGCCCATTCGTGTCCTGTTCCCTGGCAGCCTCAGCATGGGGCAAAGTCCTCGCCCTGCGACTGTTTCATTAATACTAGGTGCAGTGGACTCTCCAGATTTCACTCTCAGCTCCTTGATTGTAAGTGATGGGAAACTCAACCCACACTGGCTTAAACTAAAGGAAGATTCTGTAGCTGGCATAAGAGAAAAGTTCAGAGGCCACATTGGCTTCCTGTGGCTGGGAGTAAGAGCTCAAAGGATGCCCAGGCCCTAGCTTCCCTGTCCCCTCCTTGTTCTCCGTCCTTTAAGAGGATTCCCCTGACACCCGACCTCCCTGGGGAACCGTGGTGGCGCCCTCTCAGCTGGTCTGGAGCTCAGCCTCCCTCCTGGGTCTGTTGTGTACTCTGCTCTGCCCTTGCTCATTGGTGCCAAGAGCTGCCCTTGGCTCTCCAAGCCAGGCCTTTTCCTGCCATCCCAGACATGCTGTGGGCAGTGGGTGAGCCCTGCCTGTGAGGTTGGACAGTCTGGGGAGCAGTGCCACAGAGAGATTCCTGTCATCCTGATGCACTGCAGTTTCATCAGACTCTTCAGCTATGGGAGCCAAAAGCTCTGAGTCCTTAAGGTTCTTAAGGACTTAGGCTCCTTAAGTTGCCCTGCTGGGCTTGAATGTGCCATCTTCCTGCCTCAGCCTCCCAGAGTGCTGGGATTACATGTGTACTTTCTCTCCAAATTAAAAAAAATATATAAAAAGGGCTGAGGATGTGGCTCAGTGCCCTGAGTTCAATCCCCAGTACCACAAAAAGAAGTTGGAGGAGGACAACAACTGACTTGGGCTGGGCATGTGTGTAGCTCAGTAGAGCGCAGACTTCACATGCATGAGGATCTGGTTTCAGTCCCATGCACCAAGAAATAAATGGAAAAATAAAAGAAGGCCCCTATGATCATTCCCTTCCTCTACTGTAAACTCAAAAATCCTCTTTTGCAGCACAGTTTAATTATGCAGACAGCATTACAGGAGTAGGAAATAGTTAAGAGACTAACCATAGTTCAATAACTTGGAAGCAGCCACTTACATACAATAGTAGAGGCCAACAATTTAGTAATAGACTCTTTTTTAAAGTCCAATTTCAGTCACTATGTGTATTTTAATTACAAACTATGCTATTGTAAAAAGATGCAATTTTAACCAATTTAAACAATTCTAAAAGAATAGATTTTTACCAGTATTTGTCTTGATCATCAAAACTGAAATTTTCTCCTTTGTATTATTTTGGAGATTGTTAATGTATCCTTTCATGTTAGCCTGGGCTAAAAATTCCTTTCCAGAGGAAGAGAATTCCAGAGTTATTTTTAAGTAAAGAAAGAGAATTCAGTATTTGCAACTCTTAAGTCACTTATTCTTAAAAACAGGTGCCATCCCACATGTCGCTGCCCAGGGACACGGGGTTATACCCAGGGGTGGGATGTGGGTACAAAAACCTCAATTCCAAAGGGCTCCTCCAAAGCCTGGCAGTCTGGATCATGACTCGGTGAAACTAGGGGGACTGATCAGAACCGACAGAAGTGAGCTTTACAGTAGTTCCCGGGGTGGAAGAGCTTACCGTAGAATTCATACTTCATGTTTTTTGTGAAGAGATGCTATTCCTTTGCTTCTGGTCCCAAAGACACAGTTCTGGGGTTGCAGTGAAACTAGAATCATCCGGATACAAGGCCTGTACAAGGTACACCTATAATCCCAGCGCCCTGGGAGGCTGAGGCAGGAGGATGGCAAGTTCAAGCCTAGGCTGGGCAGTTTAGGGACCTCAGGTCCCTAGCTCATAAGCACCACTGCAGTGTAGGCTGGTGTGGCTGTCATACTAATAGGAGACCTGACGCAATGTGTGTTTGCTCTTAATTGTGGTGGCTCGTGGGGCATGTGCTTGGGGTTGTGTGGTTTGATGATGTCTCCCCCAGCTCACCAGACTGTAGAGTGAAGTTCTCTATGGTGTGCTGGCTCCAAGGGGGTGCGTTCTGAAGTGGGGGTGTCTGATAGGGTGGGGATAACCCTCTTGTCGCTAAAAACCAGGCAACTGTGTCTGTCGGTTCATATCTCCAACTGTCTCACTCTGCACGAAGGCCTCCATTGGCTTGTCACGTAGCTACCACCCACAAGGCAGTAATGTGAAGCATTTCAAGGACTGAGAGCAAGGAGAATGTAGCTGGAGTAGGAAGACTGCTTGGGTGGCTGGAGGAGGTGGCCTGTCCAAGGCCTCCCTGTTTGGCACAGCTGCTCTTCATGCTGGGCTCTGGCTCCCCTAAGTTTGAGGCTTTGACTCTTTTAAATGAGTTGGTTTGTTTTGTGGCTCAGGTAAATGCTGCCAGCTCAAAAGAACCATGGAGATTTCTCTTTTCTCCTAAAGGGAACTGAACAGCATGGGGATCTGGTATCGAATGGGCAGAGTGCCAAGAAATCACGACTCATCTCAACCTACGACGCCTTCACAGTCATCAGCTGCTTCCACCCCAGCCCCCAACCTTCCCAGGTGAGGCTCCTTGGTGGTGTCTCGTGGTCACGTTCCAGAGCACACCACTTCAGATCTGCTGAAATAGTTCGCAATACAGATGACATTTGTAGACGTTTAGTCTAAACTCGTGCCTTAGAGGAGATTTTTTAAAACCCAGGTAGAAATCTGTGCATTACATGAGTGTAAAGGTCATTCCATATTCTTTTTTGTGCATATGCTGCCAGCTCCTGAAACTGCAGAATATGCGACTTAAAATGGGCTTGGTATTTGAAAGACCTCATGGATATGCATAGATCCCTGTGTGGTAACCACATGGCTGGGATTTCTGGCCTCCAGTAGGCAGAATTCCCTCTCTGCCTCAGCCAGCAACTTATTTAAGACTCAGGCATGTCAATCAGTAATTATATTCATTTTTACATGGTTTCTTTCCCAATAAGCTGCAAACTAAGAAGTGGATCAAACTGCTGGCCACTCTTTGCCTAATTTCAGTTGTAATAGAGGAAGTAATAGTCTACACTTTTTGCAAAAAGCAGATGGTAAGAAGAATCCAGTCATATAAAAAAAACCATGCCGTGGGCATAGTGGCACACACCTGTAGTCCCAGCACTGTGGGAAGCTGAAGGAAGAGGATCAGTGTGAGTTTGAGGCCAGCCAGGGCTACATAGTGAGTTCAAATCCAGGCTGCACTATGTAGCAAGACTCTGTTCCATAAAACCAAAACAACAGTAACAACAACAAAAAATCCATGCATCACTAATAGTAAGTTGTTTGGAGGACAGGAACAAACAGCAATGGTGGACTGAATTTGAGAAAGGATTACAAATACAAACAAACAGCAAAGAATGGTGAGGTGGTGTCCTTTGCAGATTTATGTCACGTAAATGAGAATGGACCACAGCGCTTCCATGTAGGTGAATGGAGTAGGACTTCACAGTCACGGGGTGGGGCGTCCCATCGCCTGTGTGAGGGACCCAGTGCCTATGGTCGATTACAGCTGTTCCTTGTTGATATCACAGACTCTGGAAGGGCCCCGAAATGGGGACCACCTGGGCCCATGTTAAACTTGTGTTGGGTAAGGCTGGAGCTGCTTTTCCCAGGTGAAGCATACAGAGTGCTCTCCCAGAAGCTGGCTGGTCGATGGGGGAGGAGGTTCACTTGTCACCGAGGCCACAGGGCTGAGCACCTTACCACTGGGAGCCAGGTGGAATTGGGGTATCAGAACAAAGTGTTTGTAAGGCTTATATATTTTATAACCTCTGTTGTACAGTTTATGGTTTACAATGGCTGCAAGGAAATTGGATCAGTTTTGTTTTACTTGCCAAATAAAACAAATGTCAAAATAGTCAATATAAAATGTATTCTAATTTGGCTGAGTTAAGCCAGCCAGTGTGCAGTAGGATCATTGAATGCACATTAATGCTGCCAGGTAAAGACCATTGTCTGTCCTGAGCTCTTCTCTCTGCTGTACCGTGATTTACAGGTGCCGTGCACACCCAGGCAAGCTCCTAATTCACCAGGGTTATCATTTCCGTTTTTCGTGAGGTTTCTCTGGGTTTCTTTCTGGTATTGTTTTCCTACCCAATATCTTTGATTTTTAAAAAATAAAGTACTGATTACTTACTTGATTTTCATTGAAGACTTACGAGAGGATGAGTGTGTTATTTTCTTTCTGGAGGCATCTTTCCGGGGTAAAGATCAAGGCCCTCCACAGGCATGGAAGGCTCCAGCCCCCAGGAGTTCCTAGCCCCAGCACCCCCCTGGTCCCCAGCATGTGACCCTGAAATACCTGAGCACTGCAGGATCTTTTCAATTATGAGAGCAACACAGGCTTATAGGAAATTAGTAGAATGTAGAAAATAATAGGAAAACAAATTCTATTTCCAGTGGGCAAGTGCTCATAAGCTTTTGTTGTATTTTCCTTCAAGTCTTTTTCCTGTGTGCTTTTTACATGAGTGATACCACAGCATATTAAGAACAAGTTTGTGATTTGTGCTGTTTTCTCGTGGATTATTAAACCACAGGGTTAGAAATAGGTCTTCAAGTGTGGTCTTTGTGTGGACAGGGATCAAGTTGCGGAAGCCAAGGCCGCCCAGAGAGTGGTGACGCAGCGCCCTCTACTGACTGACCAGGAGGTGGCGGGAGGGAGTGTGGGCCTTGGAGGAGCGACAGCCATTCTCCCTGCTGACCCCCAGAGCCGGAAGGAAGGAGGGGCCCAAGAAGACAGGCTACCTTCCTGAGCCTGGGCATTCCCCTTCTCAAAAGCTAAAACATGCCTCCATTTTTTATGCCATCACTTTGGGAGAGCTGTCATCTCAGCTTTATTTCAGACAGACAGATGGACCTCGTGTCCCAGGGATGCTGCCTTCCCTTTCCAGAGGCAGGCACCGCCCCTGGGAATAAGGGCCTCCTGCCTGTGGCTGCCTTGATATTGCAAAAGATGCTTATGGTGAAACCAGACACCAGTCCCAGGGGAGACAGGTGCCCCTTGGCTGTCTCCAGTGAACTGGATGCCATGTTTGATGGAGTTTGCGTCAGAAGGCAGCACAAAGTGGCCAGTGGAGCTTCTCTTCCCGGCGTGTTGAGTCTCCAGCTTACACCAGACACACACTCGCTCTTGGCAGGTGACAAGTGAAGAAGAGCAGGCCACTTTCCCCAAGACGTGGAGCCCCATCTTCCACTGGGCAGTGGACGCCCATCCTCCGCCCACCCCTCATGCACAGTGCCCAGCAGGGGGGGCTGGCCTAGGGCCCTCATGTCCACTTCCTTACCCCTCTTCTGGGCTAGCCTGGCTTGAGTCAGCCTTGAGCATCCAAAAGGTCGGGTTTTCTGACTCTCCTTGGTGCTGCCACCGTGGACAGGGTTGTGGCTAGAGGAAGCACCTTCCTGCCTTTGGCCAGAGCAGCCCTCTGCCATTCAAACCCATACACGGGGGTCTTCCACTCCACTCTGCTGGGAAAGAAGGTTCTGCTCCTGCCAGGACAAAGGTCTAGAAAAGCTCCAGGCAACAGAGGGATCCAGTAGATTGAGCACCAGGAAACCCCAGTGTGGACAAGCAAGTGGTTCTCTGCCGATGGGGAGGAGGCCCTTGTGGGCTGCTGCCCTGGCTTGCTGAGCGTTGGAATCAGCATCTTGATAAAGTCGTCAGAGGCAGATGACACAGAGACGTTAGGGAGCGCTGATGTGCCCAGTGACAGAATCAGTACTCCACAGCTCCTCACGGCCACCACACCCACAGGAGCCAAGAGATGAGAGGACACTAAGGCCACCAAGAGTCACACAGTCCATGGTGCAGGAGCTGATCCAAGTAGGTGTGGCCCGGCAGCATGTATGTGAGGTGACATGCTAGTTACCAGGCTGGGGAGTGTGGAATGCAGCCTGCTGTGCATAGCCAGGCGCCTGCCCAGTGTCTGAGCCTCTGCCACCCTGTCAGGTGGCATTACTACTGTGTGGCACCATGGAACAGCTGAGTACAGGGCTGAGCTATGACCTGACAGGTAGCCAGCTTCGGATGCCTAGTGGTCAATATGTCAAGGAGAGTAGAAGTGTTTTGGGGTGGGATGGGAGGGAGAATGCTTCTGGGAGCCACCAGAATCCACTGCTGGATCAGGAGGGCTGAAGTTATAAGGAGCTATATTTGGGCTCAGCATTTTCAAAAATTAATAAATAAAACTAACCAAAGATGGAAATTCTGTGGTATCGAAGAAGCTGCCAGGGGTTCATGAGATCCTGACTGCCTAGGTGGTCAGACAGCATTCATGTGTTTCAGGCCTTTGATGACACTGGAGTAATCATACTTCCTAAGCTTTATTTAAGAAACATACCATCTTGCTGAGTGTGGTGGTACATCCCTGTATTCCCAGGGAGGCTGAGGTAGGAAGATCAAAAGTTCAAGCTCAGCTCATGGACTTAGTAACTTACCAAGAGCCTGTCTCAAAGTAAAGGGCCAAGAATGTAGCTCAGTGCAGAAGCCCTGGGTTCAATCTCCTGTACCATAAAAATGTACCGTCTTCCCTGAGAAATTCAGGTTCAGCAGAGTCCTTCCCAGGGGTCACCTGGGGGACCTGCGGTGGGCAAGGAGGCCACAGAGGGCCTTGGCTCTGAATCGCTGAGGCTGCAGCCACTGCCTTCTGTTCTCAGTGCTGGTGGTGGTGAAGGAGGCCTGCATGATGGCAGAGAGGCTGCTGTGGCACCAGCCTGGGGTGGAGACACACAGAGGCCTTGGAGGACATGGGTCCCCCCTGGCAGTGCTCACTCCAAGTCTTAGCCTGGCATTGGCATGTGTGAGCTGACGAGTGCTGTTTTGTCCCCCTCGGTGTCCGTCTGAAGTAAGTACCTGAGCCCCGGCCTGCTGGAAGCAACAGGACGTTTTGTGTAGATGCAGCCTTCAGCGGTGGCTACCCTAGGAAATCTGGAATGTTGGTTCCAGGAGCTGCACTCCCTTTCCTTCTGCCTGGGGTGTCCAGTTGTGCATACCATGGTCCCGAAGGAGAAGCCACTGCCCGCAGCCGCTGGGCCATGGCCACATCCTGTGACCCTTCTCTGATACTGTCCTTCCCTGGGAGAAAGGGCTCGTTTCCCACCAGACCACAAAGTATATGACTCACTTCCCAGCTGCAGGACCCACAGCCTCCTGAGGTGCAGCATCCCCAGGCCCCTCCCACATGTCCCTTAGAAGGTGGCCTGGCGCTCCTCTGAGGCATCCCCGTGATCTACGGTGATTTGTCAGCTTCCAGTGAGTTGTCAGTCACAGTCCCAAAGTCTGTTTCTCAGTGACAGACATAATTGTACTTAACTTTTTGCATGGATGTTATCAATCTGTGACAGCTACTCTGGGAAATGGGGCATTTTGATTGCAGAAGATCTGTCACATGCACTTAGTCTTCCTCTCAGGGACACCTGCATTCAGTCACAACTTTTGCATGTTGATGTCAGGTTTGGAGAACATAGATCCTCGCTGACCTCAGAAATCGTTCCATCACTCCGATCCCAGGGCTGTCATCCAAAAGGTTAATGGCCCT